TCAACACTTTCCCCACCTCACACATTATTACGCTTTTGCAGAGGTGCTCAGAATACAACAGTTTAGAAGCATATATGTATAGAGATACACAACATATCCCTCCAAACTGCCAATATCCCAAACCCCTCCTTTAAAGTGCAGGCATTGTACTTCCCATTTCCAGGACTCAAGTCCGACTATATGAAAATAACCGGTTTCCCTGAATCCCTTAACTAAATATTACCCTGCTCACACTCCAACAGATCGTCAGGTCCCAAGTATCATTCGTCTCCATTCACTCCTATCTAACACGCTCACGCACGCTTGCTGGAAGTATTATTAAATCACCTGCCGTGGGTTCAAGTCTCACTCATTCTGTGATTTATAGATGTGACACTGTAGTTTATACATACAGGTATCTTGTACTGAGCATAAGGAAAGGTTTTTATAATCAACAGTTTGGAAAATGAAACTTTTAGGGATATCAAATATTTTCCATTTTCAGCCTTGGTATATTATAAACCACACAAGTGTTGTAGCTTTGACCTGCAATATGGTAACATTACCGTAATTATTTATTTATTTACTTATTCAGTGACAGTAGTGGGAGACGGCCAACTTGTTGAAAAAAAAAAAAAAAAAAAATTCATATTTGACTTAAAATGGTTCGTTAGGGCATAACCCCATCACAAGTCAAGGAGCATCTTGTGGGTAAGGACGACAGATATGATAATTTTCATAACATTGAAAAACATGCACATGAAGTTTTTATCTTTAAATTATCACAGGTCATTAAGATGTCAAATTAATCAACTACGTCCAGGGTACAAATATTATTTTCTTTTTTTTCTGCAGTTGTTTCAAGAGTACTTTAGTGAGATATATGGAAGAGATGGGTTCACAATCCGACCCATCCTGCTGCGACCAAAGAGTCGAGGAACCATCACCCTCAGGTCTACGGACGTACATGAACAACCAAACATTGATCCTCAACTTCTGTCACATCCAGATGATGTCAGAACTCTTGTCAAGGGTGAGGCAAACTAATGCTTTTACACTAAAATAATTTCTGTCTCAGGAAATCATAATAACATGATTGTAAACAAACCAGGGAACAGTTGGGGTTCAAACACCCACCAGTTCGGTGTTTTCTTTTAGAACAATTTCTATTTCTGAACAGGCAGCTGCATGTTATGAGCAAGAGATAAACCTGTAGGGGTCATGCAGCACCTTGGAAAATGAGAATTACCGTATTTTAAGGCGAATGAGATGCTCCAAGATTCGCTGAATTTTGGAAGAAAAAAAGATAAATGGTATTCAGCCTCCAAAACACTGCGTAAATTTTTGAGACATTTTTGGAAAATAAGTCTCATTGCCATAAAATACAGTATATCAGGTTTAATCTGAAAAGGAGGGTAACTCCATTGCCTTAGATCAAGAGTCTATCACCAGTATCAAGGAAAGCTGTTGCATAACAAAATCAGTGTTGTTTTATATACTAAAAATGAGGCACTAAATTAGGTTGTGATAGAGTGAATGATGGTGAAAGGTTTTTTTCTCGGGTCACCCTGCCTTGGTGGGAGACAGCTAGCATGTTAAAAAAAATAAACACTAAATCTACACGGATCAATATTTATTAAGGCTCTATTTCTCATACACTAGAGTACGGTAGTATACATATATGGTTATAATTGTACCCTTAATTTTTAAAGGTTTGGAGTGGTAAGCCAGTGGAAGGCCTTGGTCAGATGACCAAAAGCTCAAACTGTGGGTAATCATATAACTAAGACCCACATCAGGAAACACTTGTCCTGTTTCTTGACAAACCTTACCTAACCTAACCGACAGTACATTTATGTTAGCCTTAATATTAATGATAATTTTATTTTAGCATGTTACAATGTTTGTACAGAGATGGGTGACACTTAGCTGTGAATACAGAAAGTCCATCATTATGCAGAGTATTATGGGCATTAGTTTGTGATGCTTTAGTAAACAGATATGTCTCAGACTAAGCTTTATCCTAGATAATTTACGCTATGTATAATAATTGTACTTGTGTGTATCTGTGCCTAAATAAACTTACTAACTCTTATAACTATGTAAGCAAAGTTTATTCTTCTCTCAAAGGCATAAGGTTTAGTATGGCACTGACGAACACTTCACTCTTCATCAACAAATATGGAGCCCACTTCTATGATAAGGTAAATAGAAAAATCTATACTATTATGATTTAAACTTAACCATAAAAACTTGACCATAAAAATTTTGAACAAATTCTAAACACTGCTTTTTAAAAATTTAGAGAGCATAAGTATTTAAAATCAAAGAGACTAATTTTTCTGATATAAAAGTTTATAATGAATATTAACTCATATAGAAGATAATCTGGTAACCAGGGTTACTGCTAATCTATGGCAAGAGTATTCATCATTTTCCTTTTCTCTCCAGCCTCTTCCTCAGTGTGCTCATACAGTATTTGGTTCTGATGCCTACTGGGTTTGTTATGTACGTCACATGTCCACTACCTTCTATCATCTTGCTGGCAGCTGTAAGATGGCACCAGCCTCCGATCCTTATGGTGTGGTGGATCATAGACTGAGGTAAGTTCACTTCTGTATAACAATATATAGCACTGGGGTCCTTTGATCCTTGTCCCCAGGATGTGACCCACAACGTGTAGCTAACACTCAGGTACCTACTGAGTGCTAGGTGAACAGGGGCAACAGGTGTGTGGAAACATGCTCAACATTTCCATTTGTGCCATGATCAAACTTGGGTCCTTCAGATGAGAGCCAAAAGTACTCCACTTGTGCCATGATCAAACCTGAGTCCTTCAGATGAGTCAAAAGTACTCCACTAGAGCCAAGAGCCCCAGTTTCATATCTTACATTTTTTTCTTCTTCGTCAGTGTGTATTCTTATTATTTTTGCATCATCTGCAAAGATATATAAGAGTTATTTGTATTATCACATCATTAACCCTTTGAGGGTCGACAGGCCCTCTCCGAAACTCGTTCTCAGGGTCAGCCAAATTTAAAAAAAAAAAAATTATTTTCTTTTATGAAAAGATAGAGAATCTTTTCCCGATCATAAAGACACCAAAAGTTTGAAATTTGATAGAAAACTTACGGAATTATGCTCTCGCAAAGTTAGAGGTCTCGGCGATGTTTACGCATCGGCGATTTTGCCCACTTTGAGCCCCATTTTCGGCCAATTTCACTGTACTAATCGACAAAAAACATGAATATTTCGCTAGAACTCCATTTTTTCTATCGAATGGGTGCAAGAAACCACCCATTTATGAAATTCAACTATCCAGTACAGTGGTCAGAATTTAGCAATTTTGCCAATTTCACACAAATTTCAAAAGATGCCAATTTCCGAATAGGGTCCAGAATAAACAAGAAAGACATTCCTGGCACTAAAATGACATTTCCTCTAGTCATTAGTCACGTCTCAAGGCCCCTCTTATATTCTTTTGCTTTCCACTTTGAATTTTTATTTTCACAAAAAATATAAGATTTACTGTTATGCAGACTACTGCATTAGTGTAAAAAATGGTATAAATATTATTGGTGCACTTGTGAAAGAATATTAGACTCACCAGTTGACGTGTATTGCACGCTTGGCACGATTTGTTTACTTTTGAAGTTTGGTAAAAATCGAACATTTCTGCTACTTTGAGCTCAATTTCAAGGCACCTTTCATTGTAAAACCAGTCAAAATCATCTCAATTTCTGTAATATGTCTTCCATTCTATAAAATGAGACCAAGAAAACTAGAATACAACAATAAATACCATACGAAAATACACTGCAAAGTCGCTGATTTATTAAAAAAAAATGGTCAAAGTTTTTTTTTTCTCATTATGCACTGTGTGCTGCAGGATTTTTTTTAGACTGCGCACACTGACCACATAGGCCCATTCTTTCATATGAAGGCCTACCAGCTTTCTCCCACTAGATTTGAGGCCGCTAGAATTTATGAGTACTAGTACGTCAAAAACCCCTACGCGTAAGACGTACTAGTACGACCAAAACCCTCAAAGGGTTAATATACACTAAACAATGTTGGTACCAACACTGATCCTTGTGGAACTCCACCAGTTCAACATTACCATCTTGATGTTTTATCCTTTAGTGAGTACAGTGGACCCCCATTTTACAATATTATTTCATTCCAGAAGCATGTTCAGGTGCCAGTACTGACCGAATTTGTTTCCATAAGGAGTATTGTGAATTAGATTAGTTCATTTCAGACCCCCAAACATACACATACAAAAGCACTTACATAAATACGCTTACATAATTGGTCGCATTGGGAGCTGATCGTAAAGCGGGGGTCCACTGTACTAGTTTTTTATTCTCCATGTATGCAGTCTTATAGTAATGCTTAAAACAAGCTTGGTGTAGCTGGTGTTGCAATAACTCAATAAAATTCACTTGGAACATCACAAAATTATTTACTTTGTAATGATAAATAATACTCATTAACTCCTTCTGTATAAATTAGTAAATGTAAAAATAGGAAAAACTATGTTTCTTCTTTTTTTGGGTCACCTGCCTCAGTGGGAGATGACAGTTGTGTTGAAATAAATAATAATAATAATAATTAAATGTAAGCTGATTAAGCAAGATTAGAATCAAAATTACATATTTATATATCATTCTTATTCACAAAAATTGATTTGTCAAGGCAACAGACAAGGTTTTGGAAAGGATATACATATTTTCACCCTGCCTCGGTGGGAGATGGCCGACTTGTTAAAAAAAAAATATATATTTTCAGGACAGTTTGAGTTGTTTGACTGACTCTGTCTTCAAAGTACAGCAGTAATAGACTTCTTTATAATGTATTTGTAGTTTTACTGGGCCAGAATCGAGAACTATTTCTTGTATTATATAACTCTAGGCTTTTGGCTTAAAAATATGAGCCAGAAAATAACTATCATTAATTTTGCATTTATTTTTCGCAGGGTTCGGGGACTGAAAGGATTCCGAGTGGTGGATGCCTCTATTATGCCTTTTGTCACCAGCGGCAATACTAATGCCCCGACTATTATGATTGCTGAAAAGGCCAGTGACATGATCAAGGAAGAGTGGAAGATTTTGGAAGGGCATATATAACACCGGAACTGAGAGCCAAAATTTTTATGAAGATAAAACTATCATGCTAATCAAGAATTGCAGGAAAATTCAAGCATACCCAAGTTTATCAAGCAATTCTATAAGAACCATTGTGTCTTAATCTCATCAAGCAGAACCACCAAAGAAGCCTCACCTACTGAATTTAAAAATAGAGAACTGCAGCATGCCTACTGGCCCATACAAGGCATGTCGTTACTGAAACCACATATTCCCACCCACGTATTGATACAACAGCAGAATACCTAGACAAAGATAACCTCAGAAAGTAACAGACATGTGACTGTACCAAACTAGTCTCATCAAGCAACACTGATAGGTAATAATGGTAGAATTACCAACAAAATGTTAGGGTAATGGATACACATGAAACTAATGTTACATTATATTGTGACAATGTTTTGCCACAATATAATCTCACATTAGTTGCATCTGTGTACGTTTACCTAACAACACTGGAAAGGTCTAGCAGACCTGACTTCATTCAGAAATATCTGTAATAGAAGTCATATACTATATGTACCATATATCTTATCTAGGAAGTTTTCACTAAGTTGTTATACACTCAGGTGATAACTTCTCTTATAAGAAATGTGAATCTAATGTTAACTTTGTTGTTGCTGGTAGTAATTGTGGATCACCGTAAAACCGAGACTTAAGTTAGTTTAATATGTTTATTATGCACCCCATACCCATCCTGTGGGCGGTAGTCAAAAGATTACAGAGGTACATAATTGGTCCAGGGACTGGACTCCAAAGTTTTGATAGCTGAGCAAGTTACAAAGGTAATGAACTAGATCTGGTCATAATCATGACCAAGTTACAAAGGTAATGAACTAGATCTGGTCATAATCATGACCAAGTTACAAAGGTAATGAGCTCCAGGTAGAGCTGGTCACACTCATGAATAATTGCAAAGGTAATGAATCATAAACACATTAATCATGAGAATTTACAAAGGTAATGAGCTCCAGGTAGAGCTGGTCACAATCATGACAAGTTTCAAAGGTAATGAATGATAAACACGTTATCACATGATTACAATCATAGACAAATTACAGAGTAATGAGCAGTAAACAAACATAGCAGGGAATTCATCCAATGCCCCAACAACAGATGTTGCTAGGTGCCTGTCTCTCCTCGGTAGACAGCCATTGCAAACAGCAGCAAGTTGCCCAGGGATCTGCTGCTTGCACAAGCACCATCGACCCTCCCCAAGAGGTCCAAGAAGCCAGTGACTCCGTTAGCAGCCCGATGGAGAGCTGTCCTAGGGACATGTCAGCGTCCTGGTGGACGCCAAGTTGATTGAAGATCCCAGGCCCTCGTGTGTACGGATGTTGAAGCTTGAGGAACTGAGTACACACTGCCTGTGGCACACCTGCAACCACAAATAGGTGAGTACTTAAGCAAGTGTAAAAATATAAAAGCTGTCAGACTGCATAAGACCTTACAATTAACATGTCAGATTAAATGATCAGGGAACTTAAATCATGAAGCTGAAATACTCTGATCAAATTAAGCTAATGCAGTAATGTAAAACAGTACATATGCATATTTTTTTTTTCAACAAACCGGCCGTATCCCACCAAGGAAGGGTGGCCCAAAAAGAAAAACGAAAGTTTCTCTTTTTAAATTTAGTAATTTATACAGGAGAAGGGGTTACTAGGCCCTTGCTCCCGGCATTTTAGTTGCCTCTTAAAACACGCATGGCTTACAGAGGAAGAATTCTGTTCCACTTCCCCATGGAGAACATATACATATGTGTATGCATAATACTTTTTTTTTTCAAGTTGGCCATCTCCCACCGAGGCAGGGTGACCCAAAAAGAAAGAAAATCCCCAAAAAGAAAATACTTTCATCATCATTCAACACTTTCATCTCACTTATACATAATCACTTTTTGCAGAGGTACCCAGATACAACAGTTTAGAAGCATATATAAAAATATATAACATATCCCTCCAAACTGCCAATATGTATTTATTACAAATATTTATTACAAATATTTATTATTTATTCTTGTACATCACTACTGTGTTAAGCATAAACTGCTACACATAAAAAAAGGTTTTTAACACTCTGGTTGTCTTCCACTGAGGTAGGGTGACTTGATAAAGAAGAAAACACTTTCACGATCACTCAGTCACTGTCTTGCCAGAAGTGCACTGACATTATATAGCTCAGATGTCCCTCCAAACCACAACTTCCTCACACCTTCATAGTACAGGCACTGTACCTCCCACCTCCATGACTCAAGTTCAGTTAGCTGGAGAATAAAAAAACACTTCTAAAATTTCTAGTTTGCCAGGCTAAGATTTTTGGATTTTTAACCTAGAGAGTTAGCCACCCAAGATAACCCAAGAAAGTCAGTGAGTCATCAAGGACTGTCTGTCTTATTTTCATTGGAGTCCTTCAGTCTTGTCCCCCAGGATGCCATCCACACCAATCAACTAACACCCTGGTACCTACTTACTTGCTAGGTGAACGGGGACTTCGGGTGTAAGAAAACATGCCCAGTGTTTCCACCCAGCCGAAATCAAACCACAGACACTCAGTGTGAGAGACTAGAGCATTGCCTACCGGACCACGGGATTGAGAATTACAGACACACTAAGCATAACAGAGATGATCTCATACAATAACGATATCAAACTAGATACTAAGAGTGACACATATATGGAACAACAACTTCAAACTTGCCAAATTGCAACTTAGGATGGGGACAACAGGACATTTATCATATACCAGACCCTTCAAGTGAAGATTGATGGACTGAACACATCGACTCAAGGTTGAGGGACTGATTACCTCATTCTCCTCCTGTTCTTCAAGTTTCTCCTACGTATGGACTGATGAAGCCACTGTGTGGCGAAACGTTTCCTCAATAAAGATACCCAAAAGTTGCACATGTGTCTAATTTATCAACATGTCGGTTCTCTGAACCATTCATCTACAAAACTCTTAACTATCTTGCTGATGACCTGCTCCTGCCCAGGTTTGATGTACTTCCTAAAATACCCCACATGTTAGTGGCTTTCTTTTCTACTTAACAGTATTTTAATCAAAATAAAAAAATCAAAAATCAAAATTTCTGTTTCCTTGTAAAGCTTACAATGTGTGGTTTATATGTTATAAAATATTAATTACAAAGAAGGCCACTAACATGCCTAGGCATTTCAGGCAGACTAATACCTGGAGTTTACCTGGAGAGAGTTCCGGGGGTCAACGCCCCCGCGGCCCGGTCTGTGACCAGGCCTCCTGGTGGATCAGAGCCTGATCAACCAGGCTGTTGCTGCTGGCTGCACGCAAACCAACGTACGAGCCACACTATTACTCTATATTGATATAGGTACAATTGAATATACTGTATTAGATACATACATAATTACATACATGTAGACTACATTTTGTACACTGCAGAAAAAAATAAAACTATCGTTGATGAGTTTGGAGAGTCTTTCTACTGTCTCAGAGCCCGGCTATGTCACTCATTATGTAAAATGGAAGGACACGATATTGGCCATTACCTTCCTATCCACACCAAGGTCATCCAAGTTAGAAGATAATAAATTTTGGTTGTATAAAAATAAAATATGAAATATCAGATATTTATTCTTGAGACTTTCAAGTGAACTATGTTACATAAGTAGGCCATAATTCATGCAAAGTATAAATTAGGTAAGACCAAACTGCATAAAAAATATAGTATATTACATAAATTAACTGGAAAATTCCCATTATTGTCCCACTTGAATCTTACTTTTTCCTGAATGTCTAACCAGTAAAAGTTTGTTCTGGAACATGTCATCAAAGTTATCCTCTATATTGGCTGTGTTAACCAAGAGATAAGATAAGATAAGATTTCGTTCGGATTTTTAACCCCGGAGGGTTAGCCACCCAGGATAACCCAAGAAAGTCAGTGCGTCATCGAGGACTGTCTAACTTATTTCCATTGTGGTCCTTAATCTTGTCCCCCAGGATGCGACCCACACCAGTCGACTAACACCCAGGTACCTATTTGCTGCTAGGTGAACAGGACAATAGGTGTAAGGAAACGTGTCGAAATTTCCACCCGCCGGGACTCGAACCCGGGCCCTCCGTGTGTGAAGCGGGAGCTTTAGCCACGTTGTAAAATATCATATAGATTAATGTAGCTAGACAGTGCAGTGTAACTATGGATTATTATTATTATTATAAAACCAAGTCCTAAACCCATAGGGTCAGCGTAACTTTGGAAATTTTGTAAATCAAGATCATCCTCTAGTAAACATAACTGTAGACTACATAGTCTTAATATTTAAATCACAGAGCCTGGGTTCTGAATCCAAGGCAAGTGAGTCTAAGACTCCAGGTCAGTGGTTAACGCACTGGCCTGGAGTTTTATGACTCGCTTGCCATGGGTTCAAGCCACAGCCGGTCCGGGGTTTGTTTGCATTCATGCTATTACAGTTTCGTGAGTTAAAATAATACAGTAAGCACTAAACCCAAAAGTCATACAGCAGAGAAGATTTAATTTTATTATAACTTATTTCTGTTTTCTTCCTGCCTTCCCGCCCCCCCACGAGATATTA